AAAAAAAAAGTCTATTAAAAGTAGCTCTTTTTCCTCCCTCCTCCCTCTCCCAGGCCCCTTTTACTCCCCTCCCCCAACAATAAAGGATGTTTTGGAACAGCCTTTTCAGGAAACATTTCCACAGCAAAATGCAGCATCATTTATAATATTTAAAGCTACATTTTTGTTGAGATGGCTTGGCAGGCTTTGCTTGCAAATCTGGCAGGATATGGCCAGCTGAGAGTTAGCACTAACAGACCGAGGATATGCTGACACAACAGAATGCTTTAATCACCCTTGCAGCAGCAGGACAAGATCCTCTCCTGCACTGCCAGCTCTTCCCAGTGTGAGAACCAATGGTGCTGCGTGCTCCTCCTTCCCTCCCCTGCCTCTGGAGACTCCAGCTCTCCCTTGCTGTCTCCACTGAGCTAAAAAAGCCTCCTTGGGTAACAGCACATAACATAATGAGCAATGGATATTCCTCTTGGCCAACGCTGTTATGAAAATGCTCCCCATTTCCAGCACAATGAGGAAGCTTAATAATTAAAAAGAAAGACTTTAACCAGTTTGTGTCCCAATAGAAGGGCTATTTTCACTAGCAGCTAAAGCTCTTTTTTGGCTTTAACCTTTTCTGAAGCAGGGCTGAGAGCCCAGTTTGCAAAATCCCAACTGGAAACTCGTCCCGTTTGAGAGCTGGGAGCTGATCTCAGCCACTCACAACAATCTCTCAAAGCAAATTAATTTCACATTTCAAAGGAGTCCTGAAGCATTTAACCCCAAAAATCTGAGAGCTGCTGCCTTGACTAATGCTTGCCCAGAGCAAGACTTACCCAGAGAATTCCTGCTGCAGGATCCAGCCAAGCTACAGACTTGCAATCCTTCACTATTCTCCACATTAAGCAATAAAGAGACGCAGTGAAAGAGGCTGTGCAATGAACAAACCTTTCCTATCTTGGGAGCATATGAATTTAGAGGTGCTGTTTAGTGGCTTTGGTGCATTGAAAGTTCTTGCAAACACCAAGTGCATGTGGCATTTGGCTCTTGGGAAAAAATAAAGGTAAAATCCTGTGAGGCCCTGCACACACACACATCAAACCCTGCCACACTGCATCCAAAGCTGTGGAATCATTTCCTCCTTTCTTCCTTTGCTGGGTCAGTCTTTGCCTTCTGAGTGTTTACTTCAGGCCAGTGAAGATGTGCTGCCTAATTTCCTCTGCATCTCTTCCTGCGTATCCAAACAAAAATCCAGAAGTTCAGGAATTGTTTTTCCTACACCCATCATTTCCAGGGCTGAGAAGAGCGCAGGTACATTCCTTGTATCCATGGGGTTGGATACAGCCCTGTGCAGCTGATTTTTAACCACTGGTTTTCAGACCAGGCACTCGGAATGGGATTTATGATGAGACCCATACTTTTTTCCAGGGCTGGAATGGGAACCTGAGCTGTTTGACGGGTGTGTGACTGAGCTGCTGATCCAGGAGGGGTTTGCTGGGGGTGTTCCCCCTCAGTTTTGTTCACCTTCTTCTGTAAATTTCTAGCTGCAGCTTTGTATCACTTGTGTTTGCAAAGTTTGGGTTACATCCATTCAAGGGATATTACCTCTTTTTTAAAGGGGGAAAAGTCCTATTGAAGCATACTCAGCCTCAAGACAGAGTTTGCAGCCACAAATCAAAAATAAAATCTGATCCCTCAGGGCTTGTCTGTGCCCATAGTGGCTGGACCTGTGGGGTGTTAGCTGAGGGAAGGGGCTCAGCAGCTCTTGGCAAGCCCATTTCCCATTTCCCATGTTTTGGAATGCTGAGGGCTGGCTGTGCTGGTAGAAGGTTCTGTTAGGGAGGGCTGAAGGGAGGTGAAACACCTGCACCAGGGGTCCAAAAGGGTTTTCCATGCTTTTATGGAAGCTGTGGCTAAAATGGACTGGGCTGCAGCAATGGGGATGCTGGACATTCTTTTTCTCCTCTCAGTTTCCTTTCTAGGCCCTCACAGCAACATTTGCTGGAGAAATGGTCACCAGTGTAGCCTGAAGAAGGAAATGTCCCTGCTGAACAGGAACCTTTGAGCTCCTACAAGGAATGTTCTGCTGCCTGACAGGGCGAGGGGAACAGGCTGGATGTGTGCAGGGACACCAAATGACTTTCCCTGGCTCAATTTTCCTGCAGGTTTTCCACAGAAAAAGCAGATCAGTGTGAAATACAAGGCAGAATGACAGCCCAGAAGTTTCAAAGCCTGTGGGAATGTCCAGGATCCCACACCATCCCTGAGGATATCATGATGTAGTGCACAGATGACTGAGGGGCAGCACAACACCAGCAAAACCAGGTTCTTCAAAGGCAGGCATGTACCAGCTGCCTGCTTCTATTTTTGAGTAGTTCAATGTTTTTAGTAGCACCGAAGATCAAAACCCAAATTGTTCATTTATGGCATAGCCCATTCTACCCAAAACTCTAGAGAGTCTGAAAGTATTACAACCTACTGATGAACTCCCATTAGCAAGTTTGTGTTTTTAATAAATAAAGTCCCATAGAAACAGAAAGTATTTACAATTAGATCAAAATTCTGAATATAATTCACAAGAGAAAATGCTATTTTTTGAGAAGATGTTTTCATATCCTCATAACAGTCATTTGTTCTAAATTAGTACATAGCAATTGTCCATTAAATGAACATTTTTCCCTTAAGACCTATTCTTGTAGAAAAGTATTTCAGGCAAAACTTCTTAACCATGATGTAACCACTCAGAATCAGAACATGTCAGTGATTAGTAACTCACATAAAAAATTAACACTTTGCATGGCTTGAGGAAAACATGGTGAATAATATCAATATGTGAGAGCAGACAGGGTGTGGGGAGAACAACATTTTATTAGAGCAGCTGATACAGTTGAAAGAAAAGTAGAGGCTTTTGGGCACTCAGTGCCTTCATCCTCATAAAGGATAACACCCATTCCTGCAAAACTCTTCGGATTATGATTCCATTAGCACTCTGGAAACATAGGGATTTTGGACTGAGTGCCTTAGGCACTGTCACTGCTGAATGGACAGTTTCAGAAATATTACCCCTTGCAGGAGTGGGATGAAGCTCTTTGGTTAATGTGCTGCTGGGTTACACAGATTTTTTTCAGTGCTTTAACAAAGTACTGAACTCAGTTTCCCTGTCAGAGCATCTCTGCCACTTATTTTCAAATAATTTTGAATATTACTTCTGTAAGGACATGCCCTAAAATTCCTTTTTTTTTGAAGCCACTTCTGGACTTCCATTTCAAGGGAAGCCAGTGGGAAATTGATTGTTTAAGACATGCAGGCTCAGATTCATGGTTCTTGCTGGGTGCTGCTGTGACAGGAATTCAGTGCTGGAGCTGGGGTCCATCCCAGCTCATCTCTGACCCACCCTCCACAGGAGGGGGCAGCTCTGGGAATTCTCCCACCGAGGGATGGAAGGCAACGCTTCAAATGAAAAGTGGAAAACAACTTAAACCAGTGGGAGAACCTTCCCTTTTGCATTGTAACAGCCATGGAAGCGTGGATGCAATTCCTGCCAGGCACTGCTCAGCTGGAACCACCTGAAACGTGCAGCAAGGCTGCAGAGCTGAGCATGGCTGCAGTGCTGTGTGTGCTCCAGGCCATCTTTCTGAGCCACCTGAGATGACCTCACTGCAAGCCTGGCAGGATCAAAGCTGCTCTCTGCAGCCTGGCAGTGACTTCATCTCAGTGCAATTCCACCCCTGGGCTCCACACCTGGAGGGGAATGATCCAATTCCCCAAACTTCCTGGTGGGAACAACGCTCACTGCTCACCTCAGGCCCAGAGGTTACCTGAAATCAGCAGCAGGAAACGTTTCCAGGTGTAGCAGGCATGAGCTGAAGGATTAATTTTAGTATTTACCTCTCTCAGCTCCTTTATTGCATAATTTGCATTGGCTTAAGAGTTTCAAGGTCTGCATTAGGAGCAAAGCCAATTTCTACTCCCTGAAGATCCTACTCACACCTACATCACCTCTTTGTCCACTTGGGAATCACCACTCTCCTTGTCTCAGTTTAAGGCACATTTTTTGCTACATTAAAAAAATACAGAGGGAGGAAACCAAGGGTATTGGGGACTTCTCCTTATTTTGATATATATGTTACCAATAGTGGCTTTTCCCCCAAGTGTTCCCTCTCCTGGTCCACCACTGTGGGTCCCCCCCTGCTTGATGTAGTCAGGGGTCACATTCAGAAACTGTCAAAGGTGGGCAGGTGAAATGTGAATCTCTCACCTCAGCACCAAGAATACCCTAAAATGTCATTGTTAGGAAATTTATCTTCTGTTAAATCTGTAAATTCACTCTGCTGTGCTCTGCTCCCTGGGGAACTCTTGGGTGACATCACAGGGCAATGCATGCAAGAAAAGCAACAACCTCAACAGCAGGAAGATCTCCCAGTGCCCCTGGATGAACACCTAGGCCTTGAGTCAAACCCAGGGCGCAGAGTCTCCATCACAGCTTTATCTTTACACAAGAATTAATCTAAACCTTGCTTTTGTTTAGGAGTTAATTTGTCAGCATTGCAATTTTCCATGATATTTTGACTGCTGTTCAATGGCAGTTTATCAAATAACTGGGGAAGGTCTTGGGCCAAGAGGTTTGCACCAACCTATTCCAGCTCAGCCCTGGCTGCTGTGGGGTGGGAACTGGAGTAGCTGCTGCTCCAGCTGCCTCACACTTGCCCGAGCAGAGGAATCAAAAGGACTCTGTTTCCTAGGAGTGCTGAGCAGTGCATATTCCTCCCCTAATGAGTTCTTGAAGTGGCATCTGATTTCTCAGTTTGCCCACAAAGGAGTGGCCTGATCTCTCCTTACACCCCTTTAGAGAGCTCTGCCAGTGTCAAATCTTGTTATGGAAGGCATGAACATTTTCAGACCTGACACCTCTCCCTTTGGCCTTTGAGGCTCTCCTGGGAAGTTACACCAATCTGTGACTGAATTTTACTGTGCTGCTGCCTTGGGAGCACAAAATGGAACGCTAATGCTTCAAACATTTCCCTGGGAATGCTCAAGGAGAAAGGTTTTTATTTAGTTGAAATTTTAACTGCATGCTTGAGTGAAGCATCGATCATACTCGGACAGCAATTTTAGGAAATAACGTAGTTAAAAAAATTAATTCTGAAAATACTGCCAACAATTTCATGATATAGATACTTTTAATATTAAAAGTAAATTGTAAATGTGTCTTTATAAACAATATGCATAAAATAGATCTACTATACTAAGCTCTCTCTTTTTAAATGCTGTTTCACAGTAATCTCTTAGGTACGCCAAGTTTTTCCCTCATAGAAATAGTGCAATCTGAAGAACATACATCGTGTCAGGGGATCAACAGCTGCTCTGCTCATTAATACAGGTCCTTGTAGATCTCTTGTAGCAGAGGATGGAGGCTCATGTCCGTCTCGGTTTTCTTGATGACCTGCAGGAGCTGCACGTGCTCCGTGACGATCTGCCTCAGGTCCGTCATTTTCTGCAGCAGCTTTGCAAACAGCTGCGAGGACTCGGGGTGGTTCAGCTTCAGCTGCAGCTCCAGGGCTTGCAAAAGGTTGTCCTGAATGTCTTCAATGGGCTTCACATTTAGCAACCCCGGGCGGTCTGGGGGAAAAAGGGTTGGGAGTTTATCAGCACTGTAACAGCGATTTTCTGCGTTAATTTCTTAACGTGTTTATCAGCAAATTCTGATGGCGTGGCCACCAGGCAGCTTGTAAGGTTTCCCTGGGATCTGCTCAAAGGAGTTTTAGGATTAGTCTTGGGAACATTTCCCCTAGGTGCTCTGAGGAAAAAAAGGGTTGTGAGTTTATCAGCATCACAGCACCAGTGCCATGCATTAATTTCTTACATATTTCTTAGCAAATTCAGCTTTTACAGATGGCATTTCCTGAGAACTGTCTGACCATCAGGTAGTTTGTAAGATTTCACTGGGATTTGCTCAGAGGGGTTTGAGAACTAGTTTATATCTAGAACTAGGTTTATCCACTGACATTTCTCTAGGTTTAATCTACTGCAGTGGATTAAACTAGTGGGTTTTCTGCAATAAACTGGGAGTGTGTATGGGAAAAAAAGAGTGAGATAGTTGGGGGATAAACAATCCATATCAGGTAATTCACTTCTGGAAAATCAATATGTACTGATGGTTTGCATGTAGTTGCTGCCACTAAAAATGTTTCTTGCTAAGGTGGATGTGAACCTATCAAAACTAAAAAAAAAAGCAAAAAAAAAGCATAAACTCAACTTCTGCAGTTTATTTCATTCTCTAGCACTAAAAGTTAATGAAATGTTGAATGTCTAAGCAATGAAACCTGCATAACTTTGTTAAATTCTCACATATGACAACAACCACCATGAATTTGTTACTGCTAAAATACTTAACACTGGGTAACACATCCCAAACATCATAATAAATCGTGAAAAGAGTCAATAATTTAAATAACATTTGCTGTGTAGCTATGAAATTATTCTCATAGTTTGATCAATAAAAAGCAGTGCCTACTGCAAGCCTTAAATCAATTCCCTGAGGCAGTGATTCCATTTCAGCAAGGACAAGAGGCTGATCTCCATTAAAAACATTAAAAATAAGCTGTTATTTCCTGTGATCTTGCTAACCTTTCTGAGCAGAGAGTTCTCCTAGCTCAGCTCGACTTGTGCTGGCAAAAAAGGCTGGGAGAAAACAAAGCTCTTTATAAATACATCGTGGCTTTACCTCATGGGGAAAACTGCAGTGCAAACTAAAAGGCAAAGCTGGCAGGAAAACCAGCGAGGGAGCCATGAAAATGAAGGTCACTGATCAGGAAAGGATACTCAGCTCTCCAAGAGGGGAGGTTTAGGCAGAGTTTTTCAGAGATAGGAATAAAAGTAATTTTGAGTGTGAACCTGTTTGTCAATGCGCTCGTCTTGCAGACATCATTTATTTATCCCATTTAACTGATAACCCCATAAAATCTGGTTCAGAAAGTCTGTGAGTAAATATAACAAAAGGTTTCCTTTTTATGAATTTTTTAGCAGATTTTTCAGGATACCTAAAGAATTTTTGATAAATAATAGATATTTATATTTGGATGACCTGCATGCATTGCATGGGCTGCAGAATCGAGTTGACATCCTTCTGAAAGTTGCCAAATTTCACCATTTCGAAGCTGTAATAATTTGGGGTTGTGATAGCTTTAAATTCTCCTTGTGTGCTGCAGCTGAACTCTGAGCTAGCTGGGCATGACTCAGTGTGCAGGGACAGGAAAAATCAGAGAGCACAAAGAGGAGGCCTCGATTTCCCCTGAGATCCAGCTCCCTTTGTCCCCTGCTCCTGTGGGGTGGGAAGTTTTTGGGGTGTGAGCTTTTCAGGAGCCAATCCCAATTCAGATATTGGGCTTCAGAATCCAGGAGGAAACTCCACTGGGTCTGGAATTTATCAGGAGCCCCCTGAATTTGGGTGCCTGAGACTGCAGGGGCTAAAATCCTGAAAAACCCCGTGAAAAACCCCAATCTGATGATTTTTTAATGACCCAGTGGGACCAGAGGCAGAAAAGATGACTCTGACAAAAGCCTAGGAGATCATCAGATGTTATTTTTATATAAGCCAATTCAAGAGGAAGGAAAATTCCCATTGAAGGCAAGAGAGATTTTTCATGAATGAGAACTTCAGGATATGGGCAGTGTTTTTTGGGTGTTGACAGTTTGCTTTACTTTCTCAGTAAAAACCTCTTACAGAGGAAAATGCTGCTTCTGTTCCAAGAAACTTATCTAAATCAGGAAAAAAAAAGGAAATAAGAGGCAAAAGCTTAAACATCCAGCTATTATGGTATATTTCAAGCTGTTAAAATGCTCTTAAATATAGATCTGCTCCAGACCAATTTGGTTTTGTACCAAAAAGTCAGTTTTGTGCAGTGAGGAGCTGCAGAGGGATGTGCCTTGCAGGAAAAAGGAAAATGCTATTTATTACATTTGTTTATTCACATTTCCTTTATATTTTCACTCATTGTCATACAGCTGCTTCAATTGCTTTGAAAACTATTCTAAAAAATGTTCACAGTGACTGGGAAAGGCCAATAACCCCAAAGTTCTGAGAGCAAGCAGTACCACTCTGTGTAAATTGATATTCTACACTGTCTCAGGGGAAAATACTTTATTTGTTTGTTTACTTACTTATTTGGATGCCTCTTTCATGTCCCTAGCAATAATTACAATCTTTTCTACCTGGTCCCCACATATGAAATTGCCACCTGCATGTCTTTACATTTTATTCTCTTTGAATGAATGCATTTTGCTTTTAAATGCACATTTTAAAATCTCAGTGAAAAACCAGGCAAGGATCTGGCTGAGTGAACACACGCGCTCCTTCTTTTTTTCTTTTGCTGAGGCAGATGTGACTCAGCACTTTGAGGTTTGTCTTCTGAGACTGTCACATGTATTGGAGTCACCAGGAGTTTGTCAGAACAAAGAAATGCTTTGTAATCAGAGCAAGAACTGCAGATCATCACTGGAGGCATTGAACAAGAGTGCAGGATTTGTGTGGCACTGAAATAGGAACTACTTCTTGGTAATAGTCTGGGATAAAACTTCAAATTTTGCTCAGCTGAGAATGCAGCAAAATTATTGAACGTGGTGTTTACACCAGGAGCAGGGACTTGTGGCTTAAAATTCAAGGTAAAAAACACACATAAAACAGAAAAAGTGACTTTAGAAGCATCTTTGGATTTAAATACCAGTTTGAATGCACATGGACTGGCAGAGTGAGGATCTTTACGGGGATACTCTGCCCCAAACACTGCTGGATCCAAATATTCCTGTATCCAAATATTCCTGTATCCAAATATTCCTGTATCCAAATATTCATTATCCAAACACTGCTGGATCCAAACATTCCGGTATCCAAACATTCCTGTATCTATATATTCCTGTATCCCAACATTCCTGTATCCCAAAATTCCTGTATACAGGAATTTTATACGTTTTATACACTGCTGTAACTAACCACTGCAGAAGATAATACACAAAAATTCGAGTCCATCCATGCTGCAAAATTCCCTTTTGAGCTTTCTCTTTGTTTGACAACAGCCTGCTTGAGTGAGTTTGCTCAGTTCACAAATGAGAATTGTCCCAGTAAGGTTTGCAGTATTCTCTTTCCTGCCCAAACTGAGCCATCCAGCTCGTTCTCCCTAACACTTCTTGTGGCAGAGTTCATTTTCAGCTCAGGTGGATGTGATATTTTAAAGATGCTTCAGTTCTTTTTCATGTATAGTAGAGCACTCACTACTGACTGAGAGTGAGTCTCAGTGGCAGAGAAGAAAAAAATCTCCTAAAAAAAAAGCTTCCCAAATCTCATTTAACCAAAGTGTGTCTTTTAAAGTCACCACAGCTGAGCTGGAAGGATGTTGTAATGAGGGTTTGCTGCTGCTGCTGCTGGCTAAAAGCATTTCTGTTGTACAAGCCAGGTGAAACCCTATGCTCACACACAGTCTCTGTCTGACCAGCATTAAATTCAGAATACAAGACTTTGTTTGCCATTGACTTTGTTTTCCAGCACCAATAGTAAGAGCAGCTCTGCAGAAATGAGTTCAGAGAAACATTTGGAATAGTTGAGGCAGAGAGAGGCTGCACTGAGCAGCTCAGGAACAGTAAAATCCACTGTGGGAGTATTTTCCATCTGTTGCTATTACAGTTAATTTGTCAGCTCCTTATTGCTGTGATTTGGGCTTTTTGCCTTTTGAGATAACATGCAAAAGCAGCTGTTTGGTTATCAAAAGGCTAAAGAGTTTTATAGGATTTGTGGCAAATTCCAAACACTTCCCAAGGAAAAGCTTTCCATGTGTGATGTTCCAGCTGGAATTATCTTTCCCTTTCCCTGCTCCTCTTCTGTTAGAGCTGCACAAGAGCCAGCCCCCCTGGAGCCAGCTGAGTTAGCATAATTTCACCAGGTAATCACAGATTCACTGCCATTTAGAGCCCCTGGCTGGGATCTTTTTGGGTTTCACAAAGTGGTTTTGTGTCAGAGATGTTTGTACACAGGATTCGTGAAGGGATTTAAGCGTTGCAGAATTTCTGCAGCAAGGCAAGACCTCGAGGTGCTCTGCTGTTGAAATCCTGTACTCAGTGAAATCACCCTGCTATATTCAAATAGTTCTTACAGAAACACAATTTTGCAAGGGTGTAGCTCTTACAGAAACGTCTGAGACAGCTGAGAAATAGGACCCAGTTTTATATCACACAAGATATTTTAATCCCACAGAAGGCACCCAGTTCAATAGATATCATATCTGGCTGTAAATTCCATGATAAAAGATTTCTTTAATTGGCAACAAAGCTTAATTATTTTCAAAAATTTTTTTTTTTTCCAAGCAGCTATCATGCTTTTTGGAAAAAAAAAAAGTTCTACAAAAGGACAGGGAGGTCTTTGTTGAAATTAAAGGATCTTCCTAGAAAGGACTGATTTATATTTATATGGATTTATATGTCTCTACAGATTTGTTTCAGAGTTTTGCTACAGTTACTTGATTCAAATTCATTAGTTCTTTACAAGTCTCTCTTTACAAGTTTACAAATTATTCTGGAAAAAAAAAAGAGACATGCTGATAAATCTGGCTCAACCCAGTTAATTATTGTAAGTGAATCACTGTCCTCCTGCAATCTAAAACCTGAGATTGGTTACATCATTCCTATTTCCTCTGGTGGAAACCAAGCACTGCTGAGGACAGGGCTCTGCTGAACACAAATTCCCTTTTTGCAGTTAGGAGTGAATTTTGAGAGGCCTTTTTCTCATCTGTCACATTTCATTATACCAAAACCTACAAAATATTGGCACGTTCTGAGTAGTGCCCTGAGAGGCTTGTACTATTTCTCCTCTCCCATCAAAACCAACCAAAACTACCCAGCAAGGTGTTTTCCTTCCTGAATTAATGCAGAGCCCTCGGGGATCACCGTGCCCAAGGTTTGCACAAGGAAATTTCTGGGAGGAATTCTTGCTGGGAGCAGAATCAGTGGGACAAATTCTACTGTGACCCCTTATTATTCCTGAATGAAACACGGTGCCAGGAGGAACTGGAGGTGAATTTAAATGCAGATATACCTCAGAGTGCTCTCCCAGCAGCAGGGCTGCTGTTAGAACAATAGCATGAGGTTGTGTGTGATTGCTGAAAAGAAATCTAATAACAAAATCCTCGGCACTGCTCTGCAGAGATGAATCCAGAGCATTCAGCACATTCCTGCCATGGATGTGTGCAGCTCCACCTTGGGCCAAAATACACACAGATCAGTAGGGCAAGATTTTGTTTGTGCAACATCACTGCCTTGGGAGTGTTGGCCAAAGGAACAGGGCTTCGATGTGTCTGGAATACATCTGAAGGTGTCTAAGTGAAATAAATCCTGGTAGGCAGCAGTAATTCCCAAAACAGAGCAGTGACATCACCTCAGGAGCAGAGAACACACTGGCTGGCTGCAGAAAAGCTGAAATTCAGAGTTTTTTCAGTGAAGTGTTGAAAGTGGGCAGTCTGATACCTGGGATTTCAGGTGTATGCTTTGTTCAAAGCGTGATGTGTGAAGATACAGCTGAGGAAAGCTGAACAAGCCCACAATGCCTGGTTGTTTTATTTTTTTTAGGTGACCATAATTTTCCTGAAAAATGCATTTCCCCCTCCTTTTAAAGGCAAACAAAACCTTTCATGAATGGTAGGACAATGAAAAGCACCATAACTCTGTAAGCCCAACACCACCTATCCCTTTGGAATTGTTCTGGAGTCAAAGCTGTTTGTGGTCAATTAGCAAGCCACACAATCTAATTGCAGGTTTAAAAAACAAAAAATCTCCTGCAGAATTTTAGCTCCTGGCAGTGAAATTCCACCCTTCCTGTTTTCCAAAAGATAGCCCTGATTTTGTTTTTTGCCTAAATGAACTGATGACTCAGCAGGCATTTCCAGTTCCATCTCTAATATCGGGGCATTTCCATTTTCAGTTTCTGTCTGGAACTGAATAAAGGATGAACAACAAAAAGAGATTTGAAAATTACTAAAAAAAGCTCTGTGTAACTGCACTCACTTCCAGCCCCGAGCACTTTGCTGTTTGGGCAGGAGTTAAAGGTGTCAATCCATCAAATCCCATATAAATTCTCTAAAATCCCACATAACTAAGAGAGCACTTACCTCCACTTAGGATAATGACAGCTATAAATATTGCCAGGTCACTGTCATCTAATTCCAGTGCATTGAACTTCACAGCAAACTCAAACTTGGGCTCCATAAAGTCACAGAAAGGTTTCCTCAGGCTCTTCAGGAACTCCCGCGTCATGAACCCTTGTCCATCGGATATGAGAACCCCATCCTTATTCATCAGAGAGGCCAGCAGGGTGTAGATGATCTCATGGACCCCGTACTTCAGCAGAGTCACTTGGTCGTTGAGGTCGAGGTTGACAAAGCCCGGGATGTTCTTGGCGAACTCGGTGATCTCCTGCACGGCCTCCACGGAGCGGAACTGGCAGCGCTGGAAGATGCGGATGGCCACCTCCTTGTTCTCCTCCTGCAGGGGGGACACGTGCTTGCACTTGATCTGGTCTTCTCCCATCATCAAAGAGTTCATGTCATAAATAACAAAGGGCTGGAAACAAAGGGAAATTCCAGTTACTCCCAAATGTCCTCCCCGCGAGCATCAGGCTCCTGAGGAACCCCAAGAGAACTCAGCAGCAGCCCCTCAGACATCTCTGAGGAACCTGTCAAGGGTTTCCAAAGAGTTAAATAGTCCTGAGGAACTTGTCAAATGTTCCCCAAATAGTTAAATTGTCCTGAAAAACCTGTCAAGCGTTTCCAAATAGTTGAATTTTCCTAGAGGAACCTAAAGAGTTGCCCAAAGAGTTAAATTGTGCTGAGGAACCTAGAGGATTCCCAAACAGTTAAATTGTCCTGAGGAACCTGTCAAGGGCTCCCCGAAGAGTTAAATTATCCTAAACCTATAAAAACAAATATCCCCACAATGTTAAAATGATTTACAGAAAGGCCAAGTAAAGGGGGGAAGAAGCACTATTTTAAAGTATCCAGAGTTTTGCCTTTTCCTTTGCTTGTTTGGTTTTTGTTTTACAGAATGCTTTGCTTGTTCGCTTTTTGTTTCATAGAATGTAATTCCAGAATCCAAAGTTTGGAATGTTGAACAAAAGGTTTAAATGATCCTACCTTTACCTGAATTATAACAGCTTTTAAAAAAGAGAATCTAATGAGTGGAAAGGAACTTTTTTTTTTTTTTTTTTTTTTTTTGGTAGAAAGACAAAGAATATTCTCATTTTGATTACTTTATTTACTTTCATGTTCCTTTCATGTTCTATCCTAGGAAACACTGCAAATAATATTAACTTTCCGGTATTGATTAACAGATAAATGTAGCCTTTTGCTGTTAATTCCTGTAAAAATAACAACATTAGGATATGTTTAAACCCACTCAGCTCGTCTTTGGGAAAGAAAAAACAAATACCATGCTACAAACCACAATTCAGAACACAAAAATGAGGCTGACTGTGAAATAAACTCAACTGGAACAAATCAATTTTGAAAGCAGCTTAGCAAAAGTAGTGCCAGAATACTTGTATTAGGATCTGGAAACAATCTCTTCCAGAATATGCAAAAGAAGCTCCTTGGTTTAAAGAAGTGGTTATGTGAGGATTTCTCAAATTCATTTGAAGAATCTTCCCTTCAGAGGATTTATGGCTGAATAGTTCATTGCTGCACTGAACAAATCTCACTGATAGGAATAGGTGTGTTAACATACTTGATCAATTAATTAAAATACAAGGGATTATACTCCAACAATCAGACTAAACAAGTAATTTTTTAAATGGAGGGTCATTTATGATTGCAGATTGAAATAGGGTTTTATGTTTACAGCTCCAGACCATGACATTCCAGGAGGGACAGTGTGAGGGATGAAATTATTTTCCCACTTGCACTGAGGATTTCAGTGTGAAACTGAAACAACAAACACTCTGCACTGAGAAAAGCCAGGAGAGCAGGAATTTTTCAGGTAATGACATTTTGGCAGCAGCAAAGCCATTAAATACATATCTGCACATATGGATATGCACACACGTGGAATAGTGGAGCAACAGGATTGCAGCAGATGCTTTCAAAATGCATATTTTTGTTCTAGTGGGCAATTTCTACCTGTTCTTTCTAGTGGGAGCACCGAGTAGAAGAAAAAGTCATTATTAGTCCATGCCCACCTGCTTTAGAAAGCTGATATTACACCACTGGCCTATCCATGATAGATTAAAATTAAGAAAGAGTTCAAAACAGCCAAAGATTTTTAACATAAAGATTCAGATGAACTTGAGAGCAGAATCTGATGTCAAATGAGCTCTGTATATCCCAGGAGATGATGAAGAACTCATTCCAGTTTTGATACACTCACTTGCCTATGCAAACAGTTTAAATTAATTCAGATCATACAGCAACTAAAAAATAACATGAATTTAAACCATGCCTATAGTAAACAGTTTGATGCTCCAGAGCACCAAATCCATTCATAAAACATGAAATTGTGTAACCATTAAATACTCAGTGTCACTCTTGCAGTGGTATCTTCAAGAAAGACTTGAAAACTGGCAGCACTGAAAAGCTGGCTTCTGTCTACTGTTTTATTGCTGTTTCTAATGTGCCAAAGTTTAAAAACTCCCAAAAAGAAAGGAGAATTAATTGATGCAATTATACATTTACTGAGTGAGAATAGCAGTGGTGGAACTTTTCAGGCACGAGTAGGTTGCACATCAGTTTCTGCAGAATAAATAAACTTAGCTAATTCAAACTTTATGCTGAAAAGTTATTCACGTTGTTAGTGCCCACCACATCTTTTATGTAAGGGGTCAACCAATTTCCGGCCAACATTAAAATTATTATTTTAATTGTCTTTAAGGAAAGGAAGAAATACCTTTTTGGAGCCCAAAATACCTCTGAGTTATTGAAATTCTTAAGGAAAATAAAATACACTGTTGTAATCCTGACAATAACATTTATGCCAATGATAGAAAATAAATCAAGCTAAGAGTTATAAGTTGTGGAAAACTATTTTGTTCTTTAGGTATTAAAATACTGTTACCAACATGATCAGATATTATTTATGCTCCTCTCACTGATACAGAAGATTATTCTGCATTGCAAATGAAGTTTCCAAGGCAATCCACAAAAACCCACTTATCACTAGTCCTTACTTTTCCAAGATTTTCCTGTCCATTCTCCTAAAATTCCAACTGCACCAACTCAGGGCACTGCTGTGACCTGAGATAACCCAGAGAAAACAGGAATTCATCAGAGCTTCATAAGAACGAGCATCACATAAGAATGTGCTGGGGCTGGAACCATTTGCCACTTAGGAAAAGGAATATTCCTCAGGGAACAGCAATTCCTGACAGCTGGAGAGGCACCTTAAACAGATAGTGTGGAAGATAACCTCTGGGCAAGGAGAGGGAAAACGGGAAGAGAGGATCAGGGAATACAAAAAGGTTAAGGTGACCTTCAAATTCTTGTCCTGGTTTCAAGTATTTTATTAGGTGAACTTGGAGTTTTTTCAAATAATGTTTACTTACCCTATCTAAAAACATTTCCTGTGTTTCAGAGACAGCTTGAAATGTGTAACTGCCAACAGCAAAGTGTTTTTTTTTTTTTTTTTAGGTTCAGTGTTTTGTAGTTTTTTTTTTTTTAAGAGCTGCCTTGTCAGCTCTGTGAACCATTTACTCAGAAAAAAGGAAGAAACAGAAAGAAGAGGGAACTGACTGATTTGTCTGTCGTCTTTCCTGTCAGGATGGCCCTCGCCTTGGCTTTGGTCAGAGGGAAGGACTTGATGTAGGAGTCGTAGAGGTGCTTGGCCAGCGCGCGCAGGTCGGCGGACTCGGGGTTCAGCTGCTCGATGTCGCTGGAGATCTCCGCCAGCAGCTTCTCCTTCTCCGCCTGGGGCATCCGCCCGAACCTGATGGCTGAGAACACCACAAGAGTTACAAAACCCCACATTTCAGTGGCCTTTCTGCCACCTTCCTGCACCTGCCGCTGCTCCTCAAGAAGCACATTTGAGTTTTCGTCGCCTTTCGGCGCCGGTGCCTCAGCGGGGTTAGGCAAGCGAGGAGCGAGGGTTTTCTGCATTTAGTCAAAAGAGCTGGAGAGCTTGAAAGAAATGTAAACAAACAAATTCACCAAAGAAATCATCTCTGTGCCCACTATCATACCTTGCTTAGAAATACAAACCCCCTGGTTCTACCTCCAATCTACATAAAATGCAAAGAATATTTAAGATATTAAAGTTCTGTTGGCTCAGGGTGGGAACCACAGTTGAGCCTTGTATTGTTCTGGGCAAATCACCACACGGATCTGAGATTCTTCATTTGTTTAGAAACAAAATCCTCACATGCCTTGCAGGAAGGAATTCCTAAATAATTCAGCAGAATTTAACACAGCAAGTGCTATAAAATGTTACCATCAGAATGAAGGAATGGGGAAGGAGGCTGTACAGGGAACAAAAAGCTGGAAAAGGCTGAGTTGCTCGTGGCACCTCGATGTATGTGCAGCATTGAAAAACCAGGAAATGGTTCTACCTCATCAGATGAGCTCAAAATTGCTCAGATCTCCTCTGCACCTCCTCCTTTTCCATCCTGTACTTCCTAAGCAAGACTATCCATGTGGGGACTGACTGGGGCATGTTTCAAATGAGCCATCAAAATCAAGACTGATTTATCACATGATATTTCGGTAAACAGAATTTATTTTGTTTTATGAAAACAGAACAGAACAAAAGAGCATCCAAACAAGAAACGGAAGGAAGAAATCAAGGTCTGCATTTTGGCCCTAGGGGGAAATAGAAATATTATGAATATTTTTTCAGTGATTAGTGTGTTCCTTGGATAAAGGAAAAGTGCTGCTAAGATCATATATAGATGATTTTACTGGGAATGTTTATTTTGGAAACAGGCAGCCACTTTTCTGTGAGTTTGCTGCAATGTTTTGATGGGCAAACAGGACATTTTATTCCAAGAATAAATAATTATGTCACAACACATCCCCCCCTCTCCATTTTTCCTATATTATATTTATTGATCAGTTGTCTAATTTGATGGCTGTAGAAACAAAGTTGTTTATTTTTATGACTGAACTCCTCTTTCAGCAATCTCAGTCTGGGAGTGAGATGTGCTGGATATTTCAGAATCACTTGGGTGTCCTTGATATTAAGTTATTAAATATCCTTGATATTAAATTAGACTGAACACCAGCAGGAAATGATTCTGTTGTGGGCCTGCTCCTGAGAGCTGAGGTTTGCAAAAGCAGATTCACAGTCTGGGATCCCACTGGCAGAAGACTCCATTCCATCAAAAGAAAAGGTGATCAGGACTCAAATGTATTTTAAATACCACATTTCATTATAAAGTATATTTTGAATATTAAAAATATTTAACAAGGAGGGTTGTGAATCAAGAATTCCTATCTTACCATTTCATAGCCATAGGATTTATTTTTCCATAGAATAAATTATTCTAAGTGTATTTGGAATATACTTTTTTTGGTGAGATATCAGATGCAGCAGATTCTGTTCAATGTTTATTAGCATTGCAGGCAAAATCTGGAGCAAAATCAATTCTGTGGGACTAGCATAGCAGTTTCCTTCTGTAAAAATCCTTGTCACTGTCATTTTCAGGGGGCTGAGACAAAAACCAGGGAGAGCTCAGGCAGCGAGAGGTTGATGGGAGGAATTGGGAAAGGGGGATTTTGGATGGGAGCAGAAGGAGGGGCTGATGATGATGCCAGTTCCAAAGGTCAGGCTGGAAAAGGAGAGCCTGGGGAGGAATCAGCAGGGCTGGGAAAAGCCTGGGAGAGCTCTGGAAGCCCAGCTGGCTGAGGGGGCTCAGGTGGTAGCTTCTCTCCCCACAGTCCCAGACTGTGCAGGTCTGGGCAGGAGCCTGCAGCTGGAGCCTGGATTTCTCTCTTTCCTTGGGCAGTTCCTGCTTTTCTTTGAATTCCAGCATTCCCCAAATGTCAGGAGCAGAAAGCCAACAGTGAACACAGTCAGTTCCTCGTGCTGCATTCTGTCCTTTCTGTGGAAGAACTACAGTATTTATCCTCACCCCAGGTTTTACCTCTTGGAGAAGTTAAATGTAAAAAAAGATGGTTGCTCTTCTGTAGGGCACTGCTCTTCTGATTGTCTGGATTATTTCTGGGCATAAAGGAGACCCCAAATAGCCCATCAATGCAGTTTGTTATGCTAGAAATCAGAAGGTAAAGCCAGGCTGGATACCTGTCTGATTTCAGTGGAGATGTGCCCAGACTGAGCAATCCCCTGCTCCCAGAGCTGATGATAAAGACATTGCCATGTGTTCTTTTTATCCCATTGCAGTAGCTGAGTTCATACCAGCAGCACATTTAGCAGAAGAGAACAAAATAAATGACATTTCAAAACAAAAGAACCAAGCTTCTGCTCAGTGGCACTTGAGAACCCATTCTGCACCACTCAGGGTTAAGCCCAGAGCAGCACTGTGGCTTGAGAAGGAAAGGAAAACAATATTCCAAGCATGAGAACACCACTGTCTTTTTTAACCTTTAGCCAAGCGGTATGGAGCATTTCTACGTGAAAAAATGTGGCTGTAGCTGCTGAGTGTCTCCCTGCAGTCCCCCTTTTGTCCTGATCATTTTGCAATAATACATCCACACAAGACTGGAGCCCTCAGGCACAAATAACCCACATTCTGCCTCAAAGCATTTAAAATTCTGCTAATTTCCCTACCCGAGTGGCTGAAGTGGAATCTGGAGATGCAACATTAAGACGTGTCTCAGTGCCATTGGTGAAACGCCCTGGCTCCACCTCCAGTCTACATGAAATGTAAAGAATATTTAAGATATCAAAGTTCTGTGGCTGAGGGTGGGAACATGGGTAGGAACACATCCTGTGTTGCATTTCTTTATGTTTCTGGGTCCTTAAAAGTGAAATTCAGCTTTTTTTTTGATAAATTAGTTTATAAATTATGAAGGAATGAGGGTGTAGTGTTGCATTTCTTTACGTTTCTGGTTGCTTAAAAGTGAAATTCAGCTTTTTTTGATAAATTAGTTTATAAATTATGAAGGAATGAGGGTGTTTTGTGCAAGGCAATGTACCCAGAGGGGACAAAATAAAAAAGGCAAGCGTAGAAGGCAATGTTTGAATAGAAACACTGAGTCCTTGTTGGGAGAACTCCTGGTTGGAGCAAAGGAAAATGTTCCTTAGAGCCCTGGGGCAAATGGCTTTGCCCTTTTTCTGCCTCCCTTGAATCTAGAACTTTTGGTGCCACAGCTTCTGCCTGGGAAGTGGCTAAAGAGGGAAAAATGCAGATGAAATGTGAATTTTAAAGCTGTTCTAGATGTTGTAAGGCAGAGAGAATGGTCTGGGCCATCCCTTCCTGATGGAACTGCCCATGGATCCCACAGACACAAATGGGAGCTGTGCTGCCAGGCTAGGGGAGAATTTGGCATGCACCTTGAAAATAATAATAAAAAATCTTCCTGAATTACTATAAAAATACCCACAGTAGCATTTCAAAATTAGATTTATTTTTAAGTGTTACTGTTGCATCCCAGGAATTTGAAAACCATATTTTCTATTAGCAAAACATTTCCCAGACCAATTTACATTCAGTGCATGTATTAACTTTGCAAACCACAATCCAGCTTTCCTCTTGGGGACAGCACACTCATTTTTTATATTGAAAATAATGAAAGTTCTAAAAAAACCACAGAGAAATTATTTTCCCAGTCATGTTTGCAATTCTTTACCCCTAGAATTACATAAGTCTCTATGTTATGACATTTAATTCCTGTTTTTACTCAGCTTTGCCAAAGCAAGGCAACAAAGAATCTTCATTATGTCCTTCTGCCCAAACATTCATAAGTATTTCCACATGAATTGCTCTGGTAACTTTAAAGTTCAGAGGGATTTTCTCCTAGAGCAGGATTGTGATATTCTTCATGCCTTTACTTTTGGTAAAAAGGCAACCACAGATGGGGTGCCCTAGGAAGAAGGAGGATGGGGATTTTTAAAATTGAACAATTCATAAAAATGAATGTTTTCATTTCAAGTTTGTTGTGTTTCAGTATGAGAAATGCTAACTCAGTGATGCCAACAGCCCTTGCTATGCAACCTGTGCAGCAAATTCCAGTTGGTGTTATTCACAAAGCTTCAGATTCTCTAATCTATATTTTATAATCATGTTTTTGGCTTCCAGGAAAGGTATCTTGAGCTCCAGCAAGAAAAAGGGTCTGGTCAGAAAATGAGACAGTGAAGAGAAAAACAGCAATTACACAGGGGATATATTCAGGAGGAACTCCCAATGAGCAGGAATGGTGGAGAGTAAAACCATGTTTTTTGATGGAGAGTAAAATCATGTTGCATTATGTACTAAAGCAAGAAAAGCAACTCTCCACCTATCTGATTTTGATGTGAAAGCAATCTTAAATCACAGAGAGGCTCCTAAATCAGGGCAATCTCTCTGACCTGTATGTCTAAACTGAAGGTGTGGGCATTCCAGCAGCACTTCCAGCAGCTGTGCTGATGTCCCACATTCTTTTCCAGATGAAGCTCTGCTGGTTCAAAGTCCCCTGCACTCACCATTGTGTGACATCCCAACAGCCAGGCACTTCTGGAACCTGCAGTACTGACATTTGTTTCTGCTCTTCTTGTGGATGCGGCAGTTCAGATCGCACCTGTCGTAAATCAGCTTCAACCGGATGGTCCTTCGGAAAAAGCCCTGCAGGGAACAGGGAAAACAGGGACAAGGTGGAACCTGGGAGCAGCCAGTGCATCCTGGCCCTGCTCCCCCCACCCAGAACACCTGAGAGATGGATTTCCAAACGAAGCACAGCTCCTGTCACCATCCCCTCTGCTCCTGTTCATCCTCTGACCTGGTGTGTCCAACCCCATTCAACAGAGGGATGAAATTCCCAGAAAGCTGGAGAAGCTTTAGGGAGTCAGTGGGGTTTAAAGGACATTAGGGATGGAATTTAAGGGCACAACTCCAAAGGAAGCAAAGTTCCATTTGTCATGGACAAATGGACAATTATTACGAACCAAATGTGACATTTTCAAAATTTAAACTTCACTACGAATTGTAGAAATGTAGAAAATTAGTTGTAAAATATGATAAACCAAAAATTCTGCCAACAGCAGTTCAATTTCTCATAAATGAAAATGGTTGTGGGTTATTTATCTTTTTACAGTTTAAAGATGCTTTTTTGGATCAGTCATAATTAATAAATAAAGTTTATCCAGAGTTATCTCCCTTTTTTCCCCTTGTAAAAATTATTTTTTCCTCACAGGGAATAATAACAGTAAAAGCATGATGCCAACTTTTATTTATATAATTAACTGTAATTTAAGTAATGTACTTTGTACTTATTGCTTTATGTGTGTTCCTAATTCACTGCTAAGAATTTTATTTAAGGTCTGGATGGGTTCTTTCCTTTTAGTTATTTTCCTCAAGACACTGACAATGGAGAAGATGGGGATTTCACATTAAAGTCTAATGTTTTTCTTTGAATTCAAAGAAATATTAATAATTTAATTCTCCGGTATGTCTTCCCTCATTCTTGAGGACTGCAATTTTTACACCAAGCATTTGTCCTTTATATGTTATAAACACTAAATATCATTGACATAAAAATAAGTTGGGTTTTAAAGCAGCAAGCACATTCCTCAATACCATCAAACTTCTCTGTAGTCACCTAAAATATGTAAAATGGGTTAAAAAATTCGAATTAATCAGAATAACAGAGCCTGAATTTTAATTTCTCAAAGCTTTGGAGCTGGGCATGAGTTTGGTACATTATAAGAATTCAGATTTTCTGCACATGACGCCCAAGACAGCAGGAATGAAATATGCTTGCATGATTGAAAGAGGGGGAAAAAACACAAAAAAATTTGAATAGATCAATACCACCAACAACAAAAAAGCAAGCTTTTAAAAAACAAGCAAGGTTTTAAAAAACAAAGTTTTATAAAAAAGCAAGGTTTAAAAAAACCCAAGGTTTTAAAAAACTCCTGCTTATTAACCCATAAATTATATGCAGGAAAACTGACGCAAAGACCTAAAACTTTTTTTTTTTTTTTTAGATAAAGCACAAAGGTGTGATTTTACCAAGTGATGATTGAGATGAAAACAGTATCAAATGCTAGTCAAGGTGCTTTTTTGGAGCTCACCTTGCAGCCCTCGCAGGCGTGCACGCCGTAGTGGAAGCCGGAGGCTTTGTCGCCGCACACGCGGCACTCGATGGCCATCAGCGAGTTGGACGCCTCCTCGTGAGCTTTGCTGTACAGCTGAACCTTCTCTGAGAAATAGGGTGGGGAAGGAGGCTCCAGCTTGATGGCACCTGTGCACAGGGGAGAGGTGAGTGGTAAACTCCAGCTGAATTAATGAAGGAGTGATGCCTTGTACAGGCTGCCCTAGAACAGAGGCTGGATGGAGTTACAGAATAAAGCAGGGATTGATTCAAAGGATCTCCTCAATGAATGCCCCTTGGGCAGCACAAGAGCCCGGCCAGGGCTGCACCCAAGATGAACCAAAATGGTCACAAAATGCACCAGCGCTCACGGGGTCTCTCACTGTGATAATTTCTGCTCCATTTGCCTATTGGAGTTAATTGTCCACTTAATTATCCAATTGTCCAATAAAGTCCCATCCTGCTTGTTTTTCTCTCTTCAGCCCACGGTGTTTCTGCTCTTGGGCTGAGATTTGGATCATTTGTCCTTGGTGCCCAGCTGGAGCAGGAACTGTTTTGTCTCCCTGCTCCGTGCAGAGAGCTCCCCATCCCCTCATATGAAGCCCACACCCACACACTAAAGCAGCACAGAATGTGAAAAATAGACAAGCTCAAACCTGAGGCACCAGAAGCAGTGAGGAATAAGCACAAGGCATCCCAGTGATGCTGGGCTGGCATGGCCAGGTCTGCTCCCCAGCAAAGCCAGCAGCAGAGCAGGGCTGCAGAAGGAGCTGGAGCTGCATTGCAGTGGCTGCAAAAGCTGGAAGGGGCAGGTTCTGCTGGACAAAGGGTGTTACAGATCCAGCTTTCAGCTCGGTACTGTGCAATGCTTTCAATATGGATACTAAAAATTAATGTATGGAGAACTCAGGCTTTACTCAGTCTCCACCTGGTTTATTCCTTCAAGGTGTTGAAAACTCCTACAGGGAGAAGGGCTGGAGTGTCTAATCTAGTTTAAAACATATTCAAGTTTCCAATAGAGCTATATATTCAACAATATATTATTCAATAATAATACATTATTATACATAGTAGTATTATATATTATTATATAATATATAGTAGATTATTGTATGATTATATTATTGAATAAATATTCTAGAATATATAATATATATGCATATAGGATAAAATAATATTGGATATTTCCAGAAATTTAGCTCTCTCCTGGGGAAACTGTTCAACTTCGGGAGCAGTTTAGAGATAAATTTTCTCTTCTGAAAGTTTCTAATAAAGAGAGCAATTTCTAATATTGAATGGTCTCAAACAAGTAAATATGATGTCTTTAAATCAATCATCACTGGTCATAGAAGAGAGCTGTGACATTTGAAAGTTACATTACATCAGGGGTGATGTAACAGAGTATTAAAGAAGGTGAATATTTTTATTTTTCCAGATTGGCTGCACTTAACAAACTAGAAAGATTTCTTCCTATATAAATTGGCAAGAAATTACCAAAGTAAAGATGAGGAAGAATTTATGCCATCTAAACTTTGCTGCACTCTTTAAAACTACTTGGCATTAAAGTGTTATGGATATTTCTAATTAAACAGAAGAAAAAATAAATGACTGGTGGAAAAATGTCCATTCATTTATTACAGTAGTAGTGCAGAGACACACAGCTCCTGCTTCACTGTACCACCCAAATTAAACACCTCAATTTCCCCACAAGAATTCCCTGAAAGAGTCCTTGTACAGATCACTACAAATAAAAGTGAGGTCAAATCTAAGCAGAAGTGGATCCTCAAAAGAGTTCCAGGCACAGCAACCTCACATTCCCACTCTGAGTAGGAATGAAGTGACAGTTTATTTAGGAATAGGTCGCTTCCTTTCTTAAAAGGAGTGTTTAGTGTAATTTTTCAGTGTAAATTGTAAAGAGCAGCATGTTTCACAGCAGGTAAGTCATCCAGGAGCTGCGATGGAGTTGTAACAATGCTGTGCCTCAGATGTAGCCAATATTTCTACTCCATACCTTTCTGAGGCTGTTTGGAATTGAAAAGCTGCACATATTAATAATTCAAATTATGCTCTGTCATTCCTCAACATCAGGGAGTTTATTCTGCACTGTGTGCCCTGAGCTCAAAGGAAAAGCTGCACACAAGGTGCAGGAGTAGGAGACAGCAGAGGGGTTCAAGTGTCCTCTAAAATGTAATTTTGGATACTTTATGGTACCTGTCCTAAACTCCAGCTGCTGCTCTGGCAGGGTCTGCTATGAGCACTTTCCCTTTTCTATCTGCCCTGCAAGAACATCTCTGCTGACACAGGAGATGTGAATTCTAAAGCCATTTGCTGCTAGCACACATTCCAGGGAATGAAAGCAACATGGACGCGAGGGAAACACTTCAGAAAAAGGCAGAGCTTACTTTGGCAATCCTGGAGCTTGATATCATATTTATAACCCAGGCCTGACTGGTCAGCTCTGGCAAGGGGAAGATCTTCATAGTGTGGGGAGGAAATGCTGGAGAAGTCAACGGTGGTGAAGGGCTTGATGTCAAAGGAATGTGTGTGATCATCCATGGCTGACAGATCCACGGGGCTGATTCCAAAATTCAGGGGCCAAAACGGCATTTCTGTGTCAACCATTGTAATCCCTGCAAACACCAACAAGAAAATGACATTTTAGGATGTTTATCTCCAATCTGCTCAGCCCCAAGCTGAGCTCCAAGTGTCCCACGTTCACAGGTTTGAGATAAAAACTATAACTGCATCTCTCCATAGCATGCATATCAATAAAATTAGAAGTCTTCCACAAATAAGTCTCATTTTTGCAAAGGCTAAGTACCATTCTTCCCAAATACCTGAAAATCTCAAGGGTTTTTATATGAAGAAAAAACCCCAAAGTAGCTGGTATTAAATAGTGGTGATTTTCCTCCAAATAACCAGAAATATTTGAAAACTGTGCTCGCTCGAGTTTGCCAAAAGTTTAATCCCAGTCTTGAACCCAAGGATCAAGGAAATGTAAGTTATGACTTTTCAAATTCCATATATATGAAAGCAGAAAACAAATAAGAAACTTCTATCTGCAAAAATCTTCTGCAAGCTGAGTGAATTTAGATTGAGATATGATATGTTTTTCCAAGTCTTCTTTTGACAAATAGCTGAACCAACATCCTTGATTTAGACAGATTTCAACTATGAAAAAGTTTGTAAGTTACAGCAAGTGCAAAGGCTATTTTATAACCAGTGTCTGTGTTTAATTTTCCACTATTTATAAAAAGAACATTCTACCCTAAAAATAGAAGAGATGTTTCAGAACTAAAATAGCTTGGTCACTTTGGCTGTTTAATTTGGACTTTAAACCCAATCAAGTGAGTGGCCTTTAACCTCCAGATAACAGAAACTTTGATTTGATCTGCTTTGAATCAAAACTACTCTGTCACACAGCCAGAAGTGCTGTTGCAAAATAAAGATATTGCAGCAGAGGTGCTCCGGAGTTTGGAGCTCACCTGTTCTTGACAGGTAAGTGAGCCTGTGCCTGCCCTCCCCATCAGCTCTGCTAAATGCCAGTGCCCAGAAATGGTTGCACTTTGCCTTCGCTCAGGAATGGCACCAGAATTCCTCCCACTTTTAGGACTCGCAGCACAACCCTGCAGTTCTTCTGCCTTGACCTTGACAACAGAGGCTGCAAGGGATCTTGTCAATTATTGTATTTGAGAGGAGAGATTCTCACTGCAGTGGGAACAAAGAGGTGCTGCAGCAATCCCACTGGATATCAGGGATGTTGTCCTTAATGAAAGGAGGGAAACAACAGGGTTTCTAATTGCCACAAGTGGCAAATCCCTGGGGAAAATCCATGACAGCTTGTCAGAGCACCTTGGTGTTGTGTGTTATCTCCCAAATGGTCAAGTTTCAAGTGCAGGGCTCAAACCATGAGCTGTGCCCAGGCTGCCCAGGAAATGGTGACATTCCCAATGCTGCCACAACTCCAGGAGCCCCCAGGGATGCCCAAGGTGGGATTGTTGAGGTGGCTGGGCAGGACCAGGAGCTGCACTGGATGATCCTTGGGGGTCCCTTCAGCTCAGGAGATTCTCTGATTTGATATTTTCTGAGCACAAAGTGAAATCCCTGGCCATGAACACTGGGAAATGTCTTCCCAAGACAGATTTCCCAATGAAACAAAAAGGGAACTCCATCTTAAGAGCCCATTTCTTGTAATGGCCAGACTCATATTTAAAAAATACAGAAATCAAGAGACATTTAAAATTGGTTTATATTCCTTTAGACAAAAGACACCAAGGGTTACTTTCTGCTCTGAGCTCTGCCTCAGGGGTGAAGGATGGCTACAGGCACAGCCCAGGTTCATCCCAGGAATTCCCAGGTTGCTGTGTGGACAAGGAGTAACTGCAGGAAACCAAATCATCAAAGGGCAGGAGGACCCACAGCCACAGCTGCCCCTGCACAGACACCTCCCTGCTCTGAGGCAGCTCCTGGAGAGCTTCAGGCAAGGACATTCTGGGGCCACTCTCTGAGGAGAGGTGAACTCCACCACCTGCCCCTGATCCCACTGAAAAATGAACAGTTTTCCTGCACTCTCCATCAAACCTCTGAAAAACATTTTCACAACCTGGAGACCTCATCACTTTGTCTTTTCAAGTTCAAAAGCTCCAGTTCCAAACCCCTGTGGGCTGAACAGCAATGTAGAGCTGAGCTGGGTTTCACTTCACTCAGCCCTTGGCTGGGATGCTCTGGAGAAGTCCATGATGTGTAACATGAGTAATTCTGTGACACTCCTGCATCATTACAACCCAGAGTGTGCAGGAACTTCCCTGGGTACAGATATCTCACAGCTTGGACAAACTCAGATAAGCAGGTGAGTCCAGAGGTCTGGCTTGGCGCACACAAGCTCCAAAATCTAAGGGCTTGTAGTAATCCCTTATCAGAAATCTCGTTTCCCAGTCAGCACAGCCAAATCATTTCAGCAAAGTCTACCAAAAAATGCCAGAGTGGTTTTGTGGTAAAAGCATTTCTAGCCCAGAAGCATGATGGTTTCGATTTTTATTACGTTTCAGAAGGAACAAAATAAAATTAAATAATTAATGAGTAAGCTGTTGTTTATGCATCACTGAATAGAAGGGATTTGGTTCCATGCATGCTCTTTTCCCTCTGCTAGTTGTTTTTATCTCTGTGTCTGTCCAAATCACACACATGCTCTGTATGCTGAAAACAGAGGAAACACAAATTACAAGATCACACTGAAGAGAAAACCAGGGAATTGTGGCTGCACCTATCAGCTGCTGCAGGTCACTGAGTAATTCTGCTTTCTCCTCTTCCTCTTTCTGCTCTAAGGTAATAAAATCTGTAGCCAGCAACCATTTACACATCTTCAGTCAAAAGCCCATAAACTCCACCTCTTCTACAGGTTAACATCCCATGACTCTCAAGATCCCGCAGTAATATTGTTCACAAGCATTTCTGAATGATGAGAACTTCCAGGTTTGCTCAGGTTTTGGGTATAAAACACAAAGCATCTTGATACAGTTTTAAAGATCCAATCTTCACATATGATTGAAGCAAATTATGGGTATCTTGTTCAATTCAACAAAATTTCCTATGACAATAGAAACAACGAATTTCAATTTTCAGATGAATTTGTTTTAGTGATACTAAAATGAAGGAAACATTTTCCATTCTATTTTTATTCTTGCATTATTGAAAACCAAAATATGAAACTGTTCCCATGTTTAATGATTATTTTACAAATACTTCTACTTTGCATGTAGCTTTACTTGATTTTCGCTGTGCACTTTGTCTTTTTTCCTCCCCAGGAAAGAGGAATAGCAACATTTCCCTCTGGAAAAGAGAAGATCGACTAATTGTAGTCTTCTCATGGCTTTAAAAGACCCAAAACCCAACAACCAAGATTAAAAAAATCCAATGGATAAGTCCAACGAACAGACTAGAGAATGCTTTTAAATATCACAGCTGCTTGTGTGACATCCAGGTAACAGATCTGTAAGTGTTTCTCTGATTTAGAAGATTTTCATGTGCAAAAATCCTCCTCAGCCAGCAAGAGGCCATGCAGAACAGCAGCAGAGATGTTATTTGGGAAGTCAGATGGAGGAGCTGGGACATTTAATCCTCCAAAAGAGCAGGAGTGGAAGAGATAATGCTGCTGAGATAAAATTTAATTCTGAGATAGGGAGTTTGCTGAGTCCTTCACCCTCTTTAATCTCCTGTGGAGCTGCTCAGGGTCATGTGCAGGGAACCAGAGGCACTGAGCTCACCTGGCACAGCCACCCCTGGTCATTCTGCTGCTGATAGGCAGAAATCTCATCTCATCATCACCTCATCCCCTGGCTGATCTGCTCTCCAGTTCCTCAGACAGTTATTCCCTGCATTTCTCCTGCTAGGAGAACATAAAATCTAACAGAGGAGATTGCCATGGTATGAAAAACATCCTGGATCACGAGCTGCTCTTTACCATAAACACTACCTGTGCTCAAGTAACCTGAAGGGCCTGTTGTGCTGCATTCTAGACACGCTCTTTCCAGACAAAACTACCAAAATATGACCCTACAGGTATTTAATGAAGCAACCAGAACACCCCAACTGACGGGAGTTACAGAAAACAAGAAGACAAAAATAAATAGGTAAAGCCTCTCAGCTTTATTAAAATCCAGGAAGGTACAATGGCATGACATGGGCAGGAATAAATATGGACAAATTGATATGTGAACTAAATAATGCTATTTCTGTATAAGAAATACTGATTCATGGATCTGAAAAGCTCATGGGCAGGTAGGTCAGATTTAAAAAGAAAAGCACTTCAGAATCATGGGATTTTCGAAATCTGTGGGTTTTTCTTAATGCAGACAAATTTAATGGAATAGATTGAATTTCCTCTCATGTATAAATGTGTCAGAGTTTGTCAAGTAAACTCATATGCAAGTCCTGCAGAACCTTATGGGACCTTTTCCAATTAATCTAATTAAGGCAGCTCAGACCCTCTGTGAAATAATATCTACAAAAGTTGGTTAAGATCACACAATCATCCTCAGCTTTCAGGAGAGATTTAGAGATGGTGAAGGGGCAGCTTGATAGCTCACAGATCCAATTTATTGATCTATTTGGAAGAATAACAACACATTTTATGTGTGCCTTGCAAAACCACAGTGATGGCAGCAGATGAGCTGAACTGAAGACCTGCACTGATCTCTCAGAGGAGAAGGGCTCTGAAAAGGGAGCAGAGTCCTGTGATAATCCTCTGCATTCCCCTTTCCAAAACTGAGTGCTCTCGTTGCCTCTGACACAGAAATTCTCTGTGGCAATGGTCGACAGCTCAATTCTGCATTTTATCAGTGCTGCTCTCAGCTCCCAGATGTGAGGGACTACTGAACCTCAGGTTATTGAGTGAAAATCACATCTTACTGAATTTGTTTTTTCCTGGCCAGAACCCCCTCGGATTCTTGCCCCACTTCTCTGTTTTTCCAGTGAAAGTACATTATCTTCCCTCTATACCCTCCGTGCCCTGTGCTGCCCGTAAAATATCTCTCCTCTTCAGCAGGTGTAGGATTACTCCACAGATTTTGAATATTCCTGCTAATGCCGGAGTACAGTGGAGCTCTAAGCTTGAAATCTTTACAGGACACCT